TTTTTTCAAACAGAAGAATGTGTCGAGATTAAAGGAAGACGATGCACACCCTTGAGGAGGCACGTATCTCGTTGCACCATCAGAGTCAAGCAATAAAGACGTGAAGGGTGCGGGGCGGGGCGCGTGCCGCGGAAGGGGGCTTATCGCCACGACGCACGGGAAATTATTGTGGGCGACGCGCTGATGACAGAAAGGGGAAGGGAGGAGGGGGCGGGGCGGACGTCGTGCCGTGGCAGCGGCAGCAAGGGAGCTTACACCAGCATGAAGGCGATCGAGGGCGAAAGTACCGCGAGCAAAGATACAATCGGACCGCGGCGACTGCCGCCATACCGCTATTTTGGGGAGTTTGTTGTTGTGAACGGCGGGCAAGGAGGGAAGGGAACTGGGTAATGACGGGTCTATGCGCGGCGCGGGGGTGCGAGCCAGCCGTGGAGGGGGTGAGGCGACGGCAGAGTTTGTGAACTACTTAGCCAGCCCGTCGCCGTGCTCTTTGCGTGTGTGCGTGTGTGTGTGTGTGTTGCGTGCAGTAGCGTACGCCGAGGTGGTGATCGCGCCTAATCGATCGCAAAGCAAGCAGCGGCAAGGAGGACCTGTTGACGACAGAGCAGCAGGCTGCAGCAAAGCGGCTCGGGCGGGACGCGATGGCAAAACTACCGTGCGAAACTAGGGAAAGTAGTGCGAATGTGACATTGCATTTAGGTCTCCGTGTAGAAAACTTGCACCCCGATAGGTAAAAGAAAACCGTCGCGATGACGCCGCATCACCATGTAAGAAAAGTCGGGGCGAGACACAAAAGTTTTGTCCTTCTGACGTTTCAATAATACACGCGACATTGGTGACCCTCATTTTGGGCAACTTTCCGTGCCGCTCTTACAGGCGTCAAACAGAAATAAAATCTCGCAAGCACAAACAGCCGTCATTTGCACCGCATCGCTCGCTTATCGTCACCCTGGTCCACCCCGCCCGCCAGCCCCGCCTCACCGTTCCTCGCCCCGCCTCGCCCCGCTCCGTGTCGCTCTATAGCCCCGCCCTTCAGCTCGCTCGCAGTTATCGACGGGAAACCGGCCAGCAGTATAGTGCATAGCGGGCCGGCCAGCCCGTGCCCGGCCCGCTTGTAATAACCCCCTGACGTTTCTTTTCCGAATCTCGACTCCCCAAACTGTTTATTTATACAGCACTGCCCCTCCCCTCCTCCCTGCCGCAAGTGCAGGGTGCTCACGGACCCCACGCCGCGCCACGCCAATGCAGTCAGGTGATGTCGTGCACGTGAGCCGGGCGCGCAAGGGCCCCCCCTCCACCGCAGCAGGCAAACGGCCTTTCGGAATATACACGTCTTTATCAAGAAAGAGACCGGCCCAGGACAAGAACACGTGTATTCTCTGGAAACCCCAAGTGTGTACGTTATCTCCAGAATACCTATATGTAAGCAG